TTGAATTTCGGGGAGTTGTGGATAGCGACAGGCAGTTTCAGTCTTGGTAATATGAGGAGTGAAAGAGATCGAAATTAGCCACTTAACTCAATTAGGTAAACTATAGAACTAATGTATTGAATGTATGCCTATTCATTCAATATTTACTGACTGCAATAAGGACTGTCATTCTGTAATTGTATGTGGAAGTCAGGACCTGAAGCTGAGAGACAAATTTAGTTTTCTAAGCGTGGCTTGGGCACCTAGAAATGGTGCTGTATTTCCAAAAAAAAAATTTCTGACGGTAAGCGTAAGAGCTGAACAGATTCGTTCATATGCTGCAAAATGAAGATTATGCTCCGCCATTACAGAGGACACCCGAGGACAGCTAGTATAGATTTTTTTGCGACGAGAGGCAAGAGTAATGCGTTGCACCGAGTGCTGTTCTAAGTCTAAGTATCATCCAGAAGTACTGCATGTAATGGCAGTGGCAGCTGTGGTGAAATGCATCCTCTGTAGTTCTTGAAATAATTTAAAAGGACTGTCACATGACACAAACAAATTGAGCATAAAACTCATAATCAAGCAGAGTGATTGTTCCTTCCTTCCAGCACCTTACTTTCATGTCATTCAAAGCCGTCCGTACAACCATTATCCAACAGAAAAAATGTAAAATGCAGCAGGAAACAAAGCCAAGGCCGAATCAGCCCATTAGACAATAAGTCCTTTCCTTTGTGTTTCTATTGCAAATCTTTCAGCTGTTGAAAATACGACTAGTGTCTCAAATGAGGGGAAATGGCAAGAAGGGATGATATAAATAAGCGATCATAGGCAATTAGCCTATATTACATTTACAGCTACTAGTTGGTTACCGTAAGGAAAAATTGGTGACCAAACACTTGTTCTTTGGTTGCAAGCTTTGTTGTAAGGCCTGTAACAGCTATGTAGCTGAACAATTAATGTTCAGAGTGCGTTCACTGGACCGAGTTTGCCGTTGCATTTCAGATTATAAATTGCACATTAATTTCTTGGTGATTTTTGTAACTAATTTCATTTCTGTATTTTCTTTTCCAGTATATTGCCACTTCAGTGGTTCTAGACTCAAGGAGACAGACAGGTCGTAATTCCCATTTTAACTGCCAACATTATTTGCCCTGAGGATGACCAGTGTGGTTTGACTGGAACGTCGGCAGTTAAAGTAATGGCTACAATCTGTCTGCCTTCTTGCGTCCCGAAACCATTAAAGTGGCAATAGACGGTTTCTCATGATCGTATAATGCACTCTAATCCTTGATGCCAAGCCTTTGCGCCATTGTGCATTTGCTGAGATAAGCACAACGTCTCCAATGTTTATAATGACTGCTGCATTTTCGCTTCCTATTTTCATCTCAGTTCGTTTCTGTTGACACAATGACAATTGTTTGGACATTTGCATTTCTCGGATATATGTATTTGTTACATGTTTTCTCTTTAGATGTCTGAGATGGGCAATATTTTACCTGTGTAGCAGATAGCCACTGTCCGCCATAGCTTCATGCAGCCCTCGTTTGTATTATAATCGGTTGAAAATCAAACCCTTGCTACTACACGAAATGAGACTCCGTTAATTCGGAGTCCATCTAAGTAAATACCAGTTATCACTTGGAAAATACCGCTTGTTAATGAAGACATTAATATCAGATGGACTGGCAATAACCTTTGAACAACCCGCACTTACTCCCGACAAGTATGTTAAAGTTCAGTGGTGTTCAACGACCGATCAGTCAGTCAACGTCTTGTAGTCGCTTATCGTCTCTGCATCGAATCTGAATAGGTTAATTATCGCCTTGATATACATATAGTTTCTGTACCATTTTCCGTCATCGCCAGTTAACTTTAACCTTCACCTCGTCGGCATTACTTCATATGCTTACGTGATCAGGGGAAGTTCAACGGTATTTACTGTAAACAAGGTATGGTTACTTGCTTTACTGTCAAACGGTATGTTGTATGCCAGACTTAAGTCAGTCAAGTAAAACCTTCCTTAAATTATTACAGTATAATTAAGTTATATTAAATCAAGTTACACCAAGTCCTCAACATCTCCATAATCATGTGAGCGTTTTTCGACTTGTTGCTGGATAAAGACCTCTCAAAGACTTGGTCATAAAATTCTGTTTTATGCTGTTGTTCTTTCCCGATTTTCTTACATAATTTGAAAAGAATTTATAAATCAGATTCATTGAATAATTAGGCAGAGTTTTAATTTTTTGAGCACTGAAACTTTGTAGCTTCATTTCAAACAAAGAGAGTACCAAAGTTATTCGTTTCCTTTGAAGAAACATAACCAGTGCGAGAAGCGGGAAATTTTAAAAACAACGTAAGTTCAAGCCGCAGGCTTTGAGCCAAGCGAAAAACATGAAGACCGAGTGTTTACAATGAACTGGCATTATTTAATAAGGATGCAAGAAAATTGTGACTACAGTGGCTGGTACTGACTAAACAGAATATAGAGACTTATTAGCTATTAAAAACGAATAAGCTACATACTTTTTGCCTATATGTCGCAATCGTGTTTTTGGGCGGCTAAGGGGTCAATTTAAATTGTACATACTCAGCTGTAGTTACACAGAAGGTCGTTTGTGCAAGTGTTGAGCATAAGCCTGACTTTAAGTTTCAGCATAAGCAGAAGCCGAACCTTAAGTCTGTGACTAAGCTAAATCCTAAGTGTAGGTCTAAATTTATGTCTGTGTCTAAGATTGAGATTAATCTTAAGCTGAATTTGATGATAGAGTTTAGCCTAAGTTTAACCATGAGTTTTAAGCCTAACCTTTGGCATAAAGTAAAATTCTTGGTTAAGCCTAAGATTAAGAGTGAGTTTAAGCATACACACAAACTTACACCTAAGTTTTAGTCTGAACCAAAGTCTAAGTCCAGTATTAAAGCTAAGCCTGAGCATAATTCTTGATTCTAAGGTTAAAATAAAGTCATTTTTTCTGTATCGTTGGCATCAGTAATTAGTATTCAAAAGACGAGAATATGAAGGCCACAGAGCATAAGAGTTGTGAGAGAGGACACAAATTGTAGAACAATCTGTCCGTGCTAGAGATCAAACGGTTGGGCATCAGATCTGTGGCGACTGCGCTGTCACCGCATTTCTAACCTCATGCGAAAATGGCAGTAGCGTAACATGTCAGCAGTTTGCATATCAATCAATCAGTTTTATGAATTCAGCAATAGGTACGAATATCGTCTGCTTTCTATCGGTCGCAGTCCATGAAGAGTTATAAACCATAAGACAGGATGATTCTGACGCGCGTTCATGTATGCCGTTGGAAAAGACTGGATTAGGCTCTTCATCAAGTGTCACCCCATAACGTCGTACCCTAGCTAGCCCCTAAAAGATTTTGTCATTCTTCGGGCTCGCACAGTACTGTGTAGGATTGTACATTATCTGAAGGCTTCTGTTTTGATATAAGTATTTTATAAAGTATCATCGTTACCGAAAGCTGAACAGGCTTGTGTCGGCAGAATTCAGGTTAGTTCCAACTGTCTTCCAAATATATGTAGGTTTCTTGATCGCTATGTTTTATTTTCCATTATATCTGTAGTGACTGTGGAAAAATCTCATTTTCATATGTAGTATTAGCCGTATCCATATCTGTGAGTTATGTCTTTTAGACTATTATCTGTGAATGTTAAATACAACATTTAACTGATTGATTCATCCGGTTAAAGAACGCTTTTCAGTTCTCTCTCTTTCATATGCGGCAGATAATTAATTAATAAAGTTGAACCTGAAAGGCAAGCCTCTCCATAATTTATATGGCTTATTTTGAAAAAGATTTTCTGGAAAGTTACTTTTATACCTGATATGTGCTGTAGTTGTCAATATACATTATGAATGATAAAGTGTTACAAATTCAGACCATTTAAAAATTTACTTTGTCTGGCTGTAGGTTTCTATTTTTGGTA